AGATAGATAGATAGATAGATAGATAGATAGATAGATAGATAGATAGACAGATAATAAATCTGTAGAAATCATAACAGACAAACCTTGAAGCGAAAACGATTCTTGGTCTGACTCTGAGTTGTAAGGAGGACACTCTGAATGTCTTCTCCAAATAGAGTAGGGGAAGATATCCTGTTCAATTTGGCTTCAAGTCCTTAGAAAAAGATAGATGGACACTTATTTTTAAGTAATTCATGGATATTAACAATTATTAATAATTTATCTCATATTAATAATTTTATTATACTATCAGATGACTGTTTCTTTTTAAACTTTACATGATGCAATCTTGAAGAAAAACATCTCAAAATAGTACTTAAGGGATCTGGTAAATGTACATATTAGATTCTATTGAAGATACTATTTTCTTTCTTGCTTATTTGTTTTTATTCACTTTGTAATCCAGCTGTAGCCCCCTCCTTTGTCCCTTTCCAATCCCACCCTTCCTCCCTCATCTCCTCCCATGACCCATCCCCCAGTCCACTGATAGGGGAGCTCCTCTTCACCTTCTTTCTGACCCTAGCCTATCATCTGGAGTGGCTGCGTGGTCTTCCTCTGTGGCCTGGTAAGGCTGCCACCTCCTCCTCAGGGGGAGGTAATCAAAGAGCCAGCCACTTAATTCATATCAGAGACAGCTCCTCCTCCCATTACTAGGGAACCCACTTGGACATTGAGGTGCCACAGACCACATCTGTGCAGGGGGTCTAGGTTGTCTCTATGAATGGTCTTGGTTGGAGTATCAGTCTCAGAAACGACCCCTTTGTCTGGATTTTTGGTTCTGTTGCTCTCCTTGTGGAGCTCCTGCCCCTCCAGGGCTTTCATCTTACCCTTCTTTCATAAAATTCCATGCACTCTGCCCAAAATTTGGCTATTAGTGTCAGCATCTGCTTTGATACCTTGTTGAGTAGAATCTTTTAGAGACCCTCTGTAGTAGGCTCCTGTCCTGTCTTTTCCCTCTTCTGATCTCTATCCCATTTGCCTTTCTGAGTGAGGATTGATCATTTTACCTAGGGTACTCCTTCTTGTTCAGTTTCTTTAGGTGTACAGATTTTAGTATGTTTATCCTATATTATATGTTTATTATCCCATTATAAGTGAATATATACCATGAGTGTATTTCTGCTTCTGGGTTACCTCACTCAGAATGATCCTTTCTAGTTCCCATCATTTGCCTGTAAATTCCATGATTTCCTTTTTTAAATTGCTGAGTAGTATTCCATTGTGTAATTGTACCACACTTTCTGTATGCATTCTTCAGTTGAGAGATATCTGGGTTGTTTGCAGATTCTGGCTATTATTAATAAAGCTGCTCTAAACCTGGTTGAGCAAATGTCCTTATTGTATACTTGAGCATATTTTGGGAATATGCCAGGAGTGGTATAGCTGGATCTTGAGGAATCACTATTCCTAATTGTCTGAGAAAGCACCAGATTGATTTCCAAAGTGCATGTGCAAGTTTCCATTCCCACCAGCAATGGAGGAGGGTTCTCCATTCTCCACATCCTCTCCAACATGTATTGTCACTTGAGATTTCACCTTACACCCATCAGAATGGCTAAGATCAAAAACTCAAGTGACAATTCATGGTGGTGAAGATACTATTTTCGAAGAACAACTTAAAATAGTCTCTTTCAACTTAAAACATATATGGAACTGTCATGGTGGGGACACTCCTTACCAGTACTTTTCATGTTTACTGTCTCAGTGTTATAGCCATGGTTATTGACAAAGAAGCACCAAGGAACGATGGAGTTGTTCCATGGGCGCCAGCAACAGCCACGTTCTTCACACTGTGCCTGGAAGAAGATGTTTCATGAATAACGCGTTTGGCCTTCTAACCCGATATGCTAGTGTTTGTTTTACCTACTGTTACCACTCTAAGCTCACACATTTCACGATCTTTGCCCTCTCAATAATTCTGTTTTTTTCCCCTTCATCATGATACTAAAAAGAAAAAAATTTAATACTTATGTTAATTAAATATCAAATGCAGGTGAAGTTATGTCAATAAAAATCTAGATTTAATTCAAGCACGTATGATTTTTTGCAGCATCGACGAGGGTTAAAACACAAGTCATTTTTTTGTGCATGCTAGATAACTACTCTACTACCTAATCACAGTCTCAGCTTAGAGTTTTGTGACAAGTTTTCAACCATTTGTTAGCAAAACATTTTAGTAAAGTTATTTTAAATAGAGCAAATTACAAAATTTACAAAACATTGTAAATATTATTTACAAAATAATTTACAAAACATTGTAAATATTACAAAACATTGACCATACAGTAATTTTACCATGTAAATCATATAAATTAGAAAAAGTCATAAATGCATACTTAAAATGTTGAATGGCATGGTGGCATTTTTCATTCTCAACAGTGAAACTGAATATTTATATAATAAAAATTTCAATTATGACATATTTTTATAATCTGGATACTGGTACAATGTTTTGAATATTTTTGGAAAACAAGTTTTCAAATTATACATGTTAATTAACCAAAGATAGACATTAAACTCTTATCTTTATATCACAATAAAATGCTTCATATACAGTAACACACACATTTATATATATATATTTTTTTATATATATATGCATTACATAAGATTGGAAAAGGATTAATTGACATCTCTCATAACATCATGTATGTACAGTTGTGAAGCCTTTCTTTGGACAGTCTTATTTCTTGTTATATAACCTATCAAAAGGTCCAGAACTACACAAAGTCACAATCGAAAATAATGGACAGTATACAGCCTTTCTAAGGTGTTTTGTTTTAACTTAGTTCAAACACAAAGTTAGAACCAGACATAGGTGTAGCAATCTAAAAAGGTGTAAGGTTATGTTTTTGGGTTTTTTTAAAATTTTTTATTAATTACACTTTATTCATTTTGTATCCCCCATAAGCCCCTCCCACCTCCCCTCCCTATCCCACCCTCCCTCCCTTTCTGTATGCATGCCACTCCCCAAGTCCACTGATAGGGGAGGTTCTCCTCTCCTTTCTGATCTTAGTCTATCAGTTCTCATCAAAAGTGGCTGCATTGTCCTCTACTGTGGCCTGGTAAGGCTGCTCCACCCTCAGGGGGAGGTGATCAATAAGCAGGCCAATCAGATTATGTCAGAGGCAGTCCCTCTTCCCATTAACCTCGGAGCCTGCTACAGAGGGCCTCTGAAAGCCAGAAGAAAACAGGAAACAACCTTGGAACCTGCCACAGAGGGCCTCTGAAAGCCTCTGCAGTATAGACTGTCAAAGCAGATGCTGAGCCTGATGGCCAACTGATGGGCAGAGTGAATGGAATTTTATGTAAGAAATGGGAAATAGTAAGAGCTAGAGGGGAAGGGAACTCCACAAGGAGAGCAACAGAACAAGATAATTTGAACACAGGGAACTTCCAAGAGACTCAAACTCCAACCAAGGACTATTCGTGGAGATTACCTAGAACCCCTGCACAGATGTAGCCCATGGCAGTTCAGTGTCCAAGAAGGTTATGTTTTAAAAACAAAAATATCGCACATTGTAAGCACATTTTGACAAACTGAAAAGTTGGTAAAGTAGAATTATAGTAAATTTCTCAAAATACACTCTATTAGTACTTTTCCGGAGCTGCTAGAAAAAAAAAATAACAGGAAATAAAAGGTGGCTTAAAGCAACAGAAATGAATTATCTCCTAGCACTGCTGGTGGATACCCTAACTCAAGGTGTCCAGGAAGGCATGCTCCTAAAGAACCCTTCCTTGTTTCTATGACTGCTGGTGACCCTTGGCAGAGTGGGCTTGCCTTGGCTTTAATCTTTATTCATTTTTATCCTGTCTGCTGCTCGTCAGAATGCCTCCTTATAAAGACACCAGTTGGAACAGAATTGTAAAAGCCCTTTGCTAAATAAGATCTAGTTTTGTGACTCCAAGTTGACATAAATACTTGACAGGCATAATCTTCCCCACAACACACATAAATTTTAGTATTAGTTTAAAAAGAATAACTTATTGATTTTAGCTTATTTTTCAATTTAATGTTTCTTTGTTTAGCTGCTCCCTCTATTCATTATAATCTTAAGAATTTTCACGTTTCTTTCTGATTTGCTTGAAAGATGGAAGGTTAAGGCACACTTATTAATGGGCATAATTTCATTAAACTCTCATAAATAAAATGGCAAAAATATCATCAGTTCTTTATTTTATGGCATGAGTACATATATATATATACTATAATTAGAATCCTAATATATATACTCATATACATACTAAGCTGAGTCAGTATGCAGTATAAAGAAATGGTATAAAGAAAATTTTCTCTCAAACTCAAATATTGAAGAAAGGCCTTACCTCCCCTTCCTATCTTACTTTACTTGGTGATAAAGACCTTAGACAAGTTTAGGGGCTACAGTAATGTCATAGCATGGAGCCTTGTTCAACTCATTCAAAACTATGGGTGTCCTTACTTAGAAAACAATCTTACTTTTGGAGTACATTCTGAAGAAGTGTTCTGTGAGGATGACTAGAAACACCATCTACAATAATAGTAGGAAAGTTCTCTTTAGATACCCACAGTCAGGCCAAGCTATCACTCCTCAGCAATGAAGCAAATGTCTTTTTGCAGTACATAGAGTCAGAAAGCCTTAACTTTTCAAAATATGCAGATCAGGTAACGATGTGGACTACCTCCACTTGATACATCTACAGCCCAACTCCTACATGTAAGACTCAGGATAAACAGCATCTTTACTGTGGCACAGTGACCTCTAAATGTGACAGGGAAGACACACCCATAAAATCCGAACAATATGGTTGTCTACACAAAAGATGGAACAGTAATGCGGGCAGGACAAGCTAGCATGGACGGAGAAATCTGAGAAGATTACAGGCAATCAATGACTACTGAGAAAGGGTGATCAGTCTTCCTAAAGCATAAGCCACCTGTTTGGTTATCCACTACCAAGGTGTCGGCTCTGAAAACAAAGAAACAAGCAACACCAAATGGACTCGTATATGCATATGGAATAATACAAATTAAAAAGAAAGAGTCCAGGAATGGGAAGGAGATAGGAGAATGGGATTTGTTGGGGAAAAAGGGGAGGGAGGTACAGAAATGATATAAATAAGCATATAGAATTAAAAACAAATTGAAAATCCTCACTAGAAATTAGTAAAAATGGCTTTTTTTTTTTTTTTTGCACAACCAACCTCCAGAGCTATGGAAAATAAGTGCAGAAGCTATAGACTCTGAGATATTTGTTAGGGCAAACTATACTGACGAAGACACTGGTAGTGAGAATATAGCTGTTGTTTAGATTACTAGCTAGACTTTTCCATACCTTGTCATTATTGAACAGTAAGTGTACATGCCTTATATACATAACATGTTTCATATTTTAAATTTAATATTTTATTTAAATTTAAATCTCATATTTTAAATTCAAAATTTTGTCAATAATAATAGATCGTTGAGTATAGAACAAGTAATGTAATTTTTTATAATTAAGAAAGTTCATGGAAATTAACAGAAAATAATTCATTTGACTAATTTATTCTTAAATGCCTTGTTTGGGCTAAATAATATTTATTTAAATGCTAATTTCATATTTAGGATTTTAAGAATATACACTACATTAATAAACTACTATTTCAGGTTATCACTTAAGAGAATGGAAGGCTAGTAGTTCAAGTATCTTGACATTTTTATAAGGTATTACTAGGAAATATTCTTGAAACACAAAATTAAAAATCAGATTATAAAAATTCATGTAACAGTGTCCTAGTGAGGGGAACAAGGACTGTCTCTGACATAAAATCAGTGGCAGGCTCTCTGATCACCTCCCCCTAATGGGGGAGGAGCCTTACCAGGCCGCAGAAGAGACAATGCAGCCAGTCCTGATGAGACCTGGTAGTTTAGCATCAGAGGGAAGGAGAGGAGGACTTCCCCTATCAGTGGACTTGGAAGGGGGGCATAGAAGGAGAAGAGGGAGGAAGGGTGGAATTGGGAAAGGACGATGGATAGGGCTATAGCTGGGATACAAAATGAATGAATTGTAATTAATAAAAAAATTTAAAAATCCATGTAACAATTTGAATAAACGTTCTATTTAAAATATCTACTATCATTTAATTGAGCGAAAGAAGAATGTTTAGACCATTTTCCTGATTTCTGGCACATTCTATTCTTCATCCAGTCATCATTTACTTTAGCAGTTTTCTGCAGAAAAAAAAAACTGTCTTTGAAAATCAACTAATTAAAAACGTTTTAAGACCCTGGTTAATGATTAATGCCTGTTGAGTATACGGAACATGAGCTCAGAGTGAACTTTGTAAACACTTTTGGAACTTCTCTGACCTAGTCATTTAGCCTTGATAAATTTTGAATTTGCAGTTAAGTCTAAAATTCAATGGGTGAGAGTCCATTTAATAACAGAATCTCATTTAAACTATTTTGACTAAATTGAAGGGTTTTTTTTTTTCTATCTAAATGTCAAGAAACTCCCTTCTTGTTCCTGTCTCCATCCACCTTGACTTCTTTTCCTGTGCCTAAAATCAAACCATATCGTGCAATGCATTGTAAGTGCTCTACCACCGAGGTGCATTACAGAGATATATACAGTCTTGGCTCATTTACCACGCCAACCTCAGACTTTTATCATCTTGCCTCAGCCTCTCTAGTAACATGCAGCACGATGTTAGGCACACAGTGTCTTCTTGAATGACAAATGTATGTGTGTTTGCTGAATTAGATTTTGTTTACTTCTTGACCTCAATTTATTACTATGCTCATGAGTTTGGAGATATTCTTCATCAATGTAATAAATTGAATTAATAATAAAGATCTAAAGATGACATAAATACTAAATCCCTGCCTGTTTACGTATCAATTTCCTAAAAGACTTGTGTTATTTTTAAAGGGATTCAGGATTAATCTTCCAATGTTCCTTGGGAAGAACAGTGATAATATCTACTTTCCTCTCTGTGTAACAGGAAGCATTGCTCTTTGCAGCTGTGTCATCAATGGATAAAAGAAGTTATTACTATTGATGCATACTTCATTGTTTTATATATTTCTAATGAATTAATGAGTAAGTTTTTTATAAATTATGATTCTTAATAGGTCTGGAAAATATTCCATTATTTCTTCTGATGGAGAGTATATAATTTAGGTTCAAACACAAATACAGAACTTGTCAGGTATGAACACAAAACACATACACCCATTGACTTTTATTTTCACAAATTTTATGACTTAAAAAGTCTGAGTCAACATATGGTTTCATGAATCCAATCAGTTTCTGTATTAATTTTTATGGAATAAAATATAAATATATTTAGAAAAGTGAGTTATATATAATTTTCTGGGTATTCTTAATGCCTCCAACTACAAATAGTATAATTTAAAATATGCAAGTAATACTCAAGGGCCTTGCATTTTCACAGATTATACATTAAGAAGTAGGAAAAAACAATAAATTTTATAAAGGTTTATATGTCAACAACAGCTTGTTAAGTATGGATGGATATTAAACTCCTAATTTGAAATAACCAAAAGCATTGAGAGGTAGCTCCTTAATGTAAATTCTGTCTTTCATTTATACAGAAAAAATAATGTCAGCATAATTAAAGTTTATGTTTAGATTTTAATAATATGGAATTATTCTATACTGAGTAGTTTTTTTCATATAATGGTGTATACATTTCTAAAATCATCCAGAGCATTTTTGGCAGACCTTTGTTGGAAGTTGTTCTGGGATGCAGTTAATTCTCTCGTTGATCGGATCATCTTCTGCGGTGGGACATCTTCCAGGACTGGGAGTTGGACTTTGTATTTCTGGATGAAGAAAATATTAAAATTATTTTCACATATTTCTCAAGTAAATAATAATTTTTAATAAATAGATTCATTTCTATATAACTAAAGTGAAATCAATTTTTGATACAAAAGACCCAAAAATTCTAGCCTTGGTCAGTATATCAAAACAGTTACATAATAATTTTAAATATCATGTATATGGTCTGATTTCTAGAAGAGAGGAATGCTGACATTATAGAGCTGGCAACAATCAAAACAGGGTCTGTAACTGTTGCCTGACATGAATTCAGCTTGTAGCAGCCTTTTCAGTTCTTATATATCAGGAGAAAACAGTAAAGGAAGAAACAGTTTGATGTCCACAATCATATGCAGTGACTCTGATTAAGACAGGAAAGGTCATTAGAAACCTGAAGCCTTAATTGCTTTCCCCGTACTTTCTCATGGACTCCTTATGTCATTCATCATAGCAAGGACAAGAACAGTGACTACACTATCCATGAACTCTTCAAATTCTGAAAACCAAAGCAAAAACCTTGGCATCCTTAAGAGTGTCAGAGAGAGTGGAAAGATGGAGGGAGGGAAAAAGGAGGGAAAGGGAGAGAAGGAGACAGAGAGAGAGAGAGACTTTTTCACCGGCAATTTATTCAACCTATTTTAACATTTCCCCTTTTTTCCTCATTTCTCTTTCTTAAATAACACACTGGGAAGTCCAGTGATGTCAAAGTTCACAGATTCCTTAATACAGTGGCTCTATTGAAGACATGCGACTCCAGTGGACAGAAAATGCTGTAGAAATTTTGGAACTTACACTGTGTTCACTGTCTTCACATATCAAGTCACTTACCATAAGTTACTTTAGAAATATTTTATCTCGTTTATTTATTCATTGAACTGGGGGAGGGTTTGCTTTGGTGCTGCCGCATGGTTGCGGAAGCAAGGGACAACTTAAACCTCATTAGAGTCAGTTCGTCACTTCTCCCTCACGGGCTCCAATGCAGTTTTCAATCCACAGCAACAGCAGAACAAGTTTCGGCTGACCTCCCTCCACTGATTAAAGCATGTGATATTACTTACCTTCCACAGCAGGCACCTTTGTAGCTAAAACAATAACAAGAGCAACAGCTATTATCGTTACGATGATAAAGAGCACAATCAGAGAGATTTCTAAGCCACTGAATTTCTTCTTTGCCATCTGAAGAAAGAAAGGAATTTGTGTTTAAATGAAATTTTTTTTGTCACTAAGCCACAATTAGTTATGAATTTTTATATAGTAATTTTTAGCTAACAAAGCTGTGAGCGTTTGTATATGAAACAATGAAAGACAGAGAAGCCATGAACTTGCAAGAGACCATGGGGGGAGAGTGTTGGACAGAGGAAAGGGGTGGGGAATATAATGGTTACATTATATTGTAATCTCAAAAAAATTAAAAAACATATTTTACAAAATCTAAAATAATACAACCAAAATGCATGAAGATGCATGGTATCATGATATCAACCTTCCTTTATTTAGAAAACCAGAATAAATGTTATGTGTAAAAATCATATTAGATATGAGTAATCAAAAACATAAAGGTCTAAAATTATCCATGTTCTGTGGGTGAAAATGATAGCAATTATTTCTCAGCTCATACTAATTTTAAACAAAACTTCATGGGGAAATTATAATTGATAACCAATTTTACATTAATAATATTTTATTACATGGTTGTGTGATGGATGATATTTTTAGGTTCTGTTATAGATATTTAAAATTTAAATAAATCTAGAAGATATTCTAACTATGTAGATATTTTTTAAATAAATACTTTTTTAATTTTATTTTTCTTATTAGTTACATTTTGTTAACTCTGATAAAACCATGATATCCCAATATTTTCCAAAAATAATTTGAATCTATTTTTTGCTATTAGAACATCTTTAAACAAAACCAAGATTCCACTTATATTTACACAATTACACCTATTAGAGCAAGCCAGCAAAAAAAAAAAAAAAGGCTTATATTTCACAAAATTTGAATTTGTTCCTTTGCCTTTAGAACAAGCATCATACTTAGAATAAAAATCTACTATTTGAATATGTTTTAAAACTGCTGATATTTCTAACATAATTTTAAAAAGCATATTTGCTTAGAAACACTACCACAGTAATAAATGGGACCTAGAGACTTACCTTAGCTCATAGCCCGTTCTGTTTGCTATGTTGTGTTGGAGCTGGGCAAGGCTGTTAAAGTAATGATCGGAGAAAATTGCTCAGGTATATATTGACTTCTCATAAACTTTTATTGCGTTTTCACAACCCTATCAATGCTTAATATTCTTCTGTTCAACATTTAATTGCTGAAGCCTTAGCCCTGAAAGCAGTTTACATAAATATACCCCTTTGACAAGACAAGTTAATTAATAACTGTGTTTTAAGATAGCCTTTGACTTCTAGATGGCAGGAAATATTAAAACAACACATAATCTTTTTTTTTTTAACTTGGCTTTCTTCTTTGAAAAACATCTGTACTTCTTTCAATATTTAGACGTGGATTTAAGAATATTTATCTCATTTTATCTCACTTTAAATTTATATTAAAAAATTTGAAGAATATAAACTATTTGTAAGGACAAACAGCTAATTGGCAGCTTTTCACTGTTATAAATCAGAGGCCCAAGAAGATTCACAGAATCATAGGACATGGCACAAGACGATCTTCAAAATCGCGTCCAGGTTTCCTGTACTGTCAGCCACGCAGTGCACTGAAGTGGCCTCTTTCCTGATTTTAGATTTCGTTCATCCTCATTCCTGCTTTTCACTCTGTAAATAAATGAATAAAATCATATTTGTCACTATAAAAAGAATGAAAAATAATATCTCAATACAAAATAATGATTATTATAAGGCTTATTATATAAGGCTTAATCATGTATATCATAAGCCCCGAAGCTTCAAAACTGAGAGAATTCATAAGAATAAGCACAAACTTAAAGCCAAAATATATATTTATTTTTATGTATGAAACTAATTTATTTTACAAAAATATAATGTAAGTGCTTCTTAGATCATTCTGAAAATGTATATAATTCATGATTATGTTGCTGGTTAAAAAAATTACGAGCATGATTTCGGAGAAAAAAGATCTATATCATCTAAAACAATCTGTGAGCAATTATTGAAGAACACATGTATTTATCCTATCAAGAAACTGCTGAACAATATGCTTCGTAAAAGAATAATGTCATTTGTCACGGTCTCTTACAACTGCTTCATCTTTACTGTTACAAGGAGGGTCTCTCTTTACTCTTACATAGTAATTGAATTCAACATAATGTCTCACTTTGTTTTCAACAGAGTAATATTAAAATAATGTGATCACAAAGGCTATAGCAGTCTGAGTATAAATGTGACAATAAAATGTGACAATAAAAAGCCAGCAAGACTGAATCATTACAAGACTCTGGGGAGAGACAAAAAAAAAAAAAAAATTCTGCACACAAAGAAATAAGATGAGAATTGGCCTACACTGGTCTCCATGAACATTAAAATAAGTTCAATATAACTGAAAATTTGACAGTATTACCCTCTACATGTAGTATATATATAACGAACGAATATAATTAGAAAATCCTAACTCTCCCCAAGCCCCCTAGAAATAATATGTGTATATGACCAAAGTAGTTAACAGTAATACATAATAGTTCATTAAGTTGCAAGGTAACAATCACCATTTTCAAGCTTAAACTAAAATGAATATAAATATAAATAAAAAGGCATCCAATCACTCTACAAGAAGAAAAGACACATATATGGAACATGGAAATATTTTCAAACTATTAGAAGTTGATCTACTCTAAAGACTTAAAACTATTGATAAAAGAAGTACCAAGTAGAACAGTAGGTAACATTTTCATTTTTTTATGAGCTGCTATTTTCTATAAAATAAGATATAAAATTTCAAAGTATTAAAATAATTTTTTTCTACTACTTATCTGTGTTGTATGTAGATGTTGTAGTGTAGATGTCTTAATTGGCACTGTGCTGGCTACAGTTACTTATTTTCTGTGTGGCCAGTTGAGGATCTTTGCAATTGTCTCCATTTGTTGTTGAGAGGAAGTGAGTGAAATAAAGAGTGAAATCTTGATTCATCTGTGTGTATAAAGATAAGTTTTAGAATACAGTTAAGACTATATTGTTTTAGTAAAATGGAAGTAGTAGACTCTATTCTGGGTCTATGAGCTCTCCTGCCAGGGGTAGTTGGCTGCATCTTTAGTGCAAGACATGAATTCCCTCCTACTGAACGGACCTTCAGTCTAATTAGACAGTTATTAGCAAGTACTTATGTAAAAGCGCCACATTTAGCCATTTGGGGTATGTTTCTGGGACAGTCATGGTCATGGTTGTGAGAACGTTCTACTGTTTTTCTCCTTTGGCAACTTGCAAAGCTCATTTCAGTAATATTACAGCCTGTAAGAGAGGAGACTAAGGAGTCATTTTCTGCTCAATTCCTTCAAGTACTGTTAAAGGAATTCAACATTCATGAAGCATGTTGTTTCTTTCTCTTTTTTGTAATTAAATTTTTGTTTTTTAATTTTTAATTACAGTTTATTTACTTTGTATTCCAGCTGGAGACCCTCTCCTCACTCCCTCCCAATGCCACTCTCCCACCCTCATCTTTTCCCTGCCCCTCTCTAAGTCCACTGATAGGAGAGGTCCTCCTCCCCTTCCATCTGACCCTAGCTTATCAGATCTCACCAGGACTGGCTAAAATGTCCTCCTCTGTGGCCTAGAAAGGCTGCTTCTCCCTTGTGGGGAGAGGAGGAAGAGATCAAAGAGCCAGCCATTGAGTTCATGTCAGAGACAGTCCTTGTTCCCCTTACTAGGATGCCGACTTGTATACTGAGAGGCTATGGGATACATCTGAGCAGGGGTTCTAGATTATATCCATACATGGTCCTTGGTTAGAGAAACAGTCTCATAAAAGACCCCTGTGCCCAGATATATTTGGTCCTTGTGAAGCTCCAGTCCTTTCCAGGTCACACTAACCACCACCCCCTTCTTTCATGTGATTCCCTGTACTCTGCCCAAGGTTTGGTCAGAAATCTCCAGATCTGCTTTGATACACTGCTAGGTAGTCTTTCAGAGGCCCTCTCTGGTAGGCTCCTGTCCTGTTACTTGTTTTCTCCTACTTCCAATGTCCAACCCATTTGTCTTTCTAAGTGAGGATTGATCATCTTACTCCAGGTCCTCTTTCTTGTGTATCTTCTTTAGGTGTACAGATTTTAGAATGTTTACCCTGTCTTAGAGATCTAGTACCCACTTATAAGTGAATATATATTGTGTGTGTCTTTCTGTTTCTTGGATACCTCACTCAGGATGATCTTTTCTGAATGGTGTTGTTTCTTTCAATGGTGTCTCAAACTTGAATCTGGGAGTCAGCCATGGACAATAGAAACACTGCCAATTGCTTTATGAGTCTCTTGGACTATCCTAAGAATTCAAAAGTAAGTTTCCATGACAAGCCGGCACAGCTTATTTGTTATGTAGTCTAAAGCTATTGTGGGGAGAAGTAATCCCTCCATATGTCTTAAATTATATTAACTTAAATTATATCTGTATCTATTTAAAGATACATATCTTTCTATCATCTGTCTATATCTCATTATATAGATATATTGATATCTATATGTATATCAATAAATTTTCAAGTTCTTCCCATATGCTTATAGTTTTAATGATCCAAATTGTATTCAAATCCTGTTGTAAAAATGTACCACATATTCATTATCCAATTTTTACTTAGAAGAGAGTTGGGTGTTTCCATGCACTAACGAACAAGAATGAGCAAGAATCTCTGGGGTATTTGATGTTCAGTAGTATAGCTGTGTCATATGGCAGAAAGATTGTAAGAACCAGAGAAAGAGGGTGTCTGTTGTGATATGGTCTCTCCTGTGTATAATAAGGGAAGTTGCATCCATGAAATCTTGACAATGTGGTAGCCCAAAGAAGATTTGCCAATGTTCCTTCTATTTCTATTTTGTGGAATAGTTTGAGGAATATTATGTTAACCCATCTTTGAAACCAGCCTTGAACTCATTGGCACAGGAGACAACTTCCTGAACAGAACACAAACAGCTCAGGTCTTAAGAGCAATAATTAATAAATGAAAACTCTTGAACGTTCCGTTAGGCAAAGGACACTGTCAATATAATGAAATGACAGACTATAGATTGGGAAAAGATCATTACCAGTCCTCCATTCGACAAAGGGTTAATACCCAAATAATGCAAAGAATTCAAAAAATTAAAGACCAACAAAAAAAATAATGCTATTAAAAATGGGGCTGGGTAATTAGTCAGTTTATGGATATGTAGGACTGCCAACTTAATTGTTTCCATTTAAACGAAATATGAATCAAGTCGTTATGAATCTTTTGATTGAAATTTCCCATATTTCATCTGTCTATTTTCTAGATTTTTAAATTGATTTTTCTTATTTTACAGATGAATTCTGTATTTCCTTTCCAGTGTCTCCCCTTCCAGCTTTTCACATGCTTCCTTAAATTTTCTCTCTTCATTATTATTTCTTCTTTATATATTAATTATAAGTGAATAATTAAATATTTTTATAATAGTATATTATACACACACACATATCACACTGAGTTTATTAAGTGTTGCCACTGTGCATGTGTATTTATTGTTGCACACCTGACTGCTTGGGATTGGATAAACTATCACAGATCTTAAGGAAAATGCCAGAGGTTAAAAGTGATTCTCAAGAGCAATTGCTTGTCTATTGCTTCATCTAGAGTGGGACATTGTGAAATTTCCCCTCAGCCTTGGTGGTATGTCATCTGGAATTGTTACTCTGCAAATCTTCTTTGAGCTACCACATTGTCAAGACTTCATGGATGCAACTTCCCAGATTCCACCATTTACCTACAAATTTCATGATTTTCTTTTTTTTAATTTAATTTAATTTAATTTATTACACTTTATTTACTTTGTATCCCCCCAATAGCACCTTCCTCCTCCCCTCCCAGTCCCACCCTCCATCCCCCTTTTTCACGCATGCCCCTCCCCGAGTCCACTGATAAGGAACTTCTTCCTTCTGATCTTAGTCTATCAGATCATATCAGGAGTGGCTGCATTGTCCTCTTCTGTGGCCTGGTAAGGCTGCTCCCCCCTCAGGGGGAGAGGATCAAAGAGCAGGCCAGTCAGATTATGTCAAAGGCAGTCCCTCTTTCCATTACTAAGTAACCCACTTGGACACACCACTCCTAAGCATTTATCCAAAAGAGGCTCAAGTACATAATAAGGATATTTGATCAACTATGTTTATAG